ACCCGAGGTCGGAATCCTATGACAATCGACCAAGTCCAATCGATGAGCTGACCGATCTGCAAATCGGGAAGCTCCCCGGCCAATGCACCAAGATAAGCCAACACTTGAGCAAGGAGTTACGGCAACAACTTGAAGTCGAAATCTCTAAAAATGCCAACCTCTTTGCATGGTCCAGCGCCGACATGCCAGGTATAGACCCTAACCTTATCTGTCACAGGTTGGCAATCCACAGAGAGGCCAAACCGGTGGCCTAGAGGAAACAGAAGGTTGGCGGTGAGAGACAAGAAGCTATCATAGCTGAGACTCAAAAGCTAATAAAGGCAGGGTTCATCCAAGAAGTCCGGTATACCACGTGGCTAGCGAATGTGGTACTTGTTAAAAAGACTCGGGAAAATGGCGTATGTGCGTCGACTACACCGACTTGAACAAGGCGTGCCCTAAAGACTCATACCCCTTACTAAGCATTGACAGGTTGGTTGATGGAGCATCCGGGCACGCCCTCCTTAGCTTTCTAGATGCTTATTCTGGGTACAATCAGATCATGATGTACCCACTGGACGAGGTGCACACATCGTTCATCACCGACCACGCCAACTTCTACTATCGCGTGATGCCATTCGGCCTCAAAAACGCGGGAGCTACTTATCAAAGGCTGATGGACAAAGTCTTCCACTAGCAAATTGGACAGAATATGGAAGTCTACGTAGACGACATGGTCGTCAAGACCATATCGGCCAATGCCCATGTCGCTGACCTAGCCGAGGTATTTAATCAAATACGGAAGTACAACATGCGTTTGAATCCTGACAAGTGCGTCTTCGGAGTCCAAGGGGGCAAATTCCTCGGCTTCATGATCACCCATAGGGGTATTGAAGCCAACCTGGACAAGTGCACAGCCATCATACAGATGCATAGCCCTCACAATGTCAAGGATGTCCAACGCTTGGCAGGAAGGTTAGTATCCCTTTCTCGTTTCATTCTCAGGTTGGCAGAGAAAGCGGGACCTATCTTCACCTTGCTCCGCAAACCAAAAAACTTTGAGTGGACTGACCAATGCGAAGAAGCTTTCAAGAGCTTCAAAACTTTCCTCACCACCCCGCCAGTCCTACAAAGGCCGAATCATCATTCTGACCTCCTTCTGTACTTGGTAGTCGGCGAGAGTGCAATCAGTGCGGTGATGGTGCAGGAGCGCGATAAGAGCCAAACTCCTATATACTATATCAGCCGAGTTCTTCAAGATACAGAGAAAAGATACCAAACAATTGAGAAGCTGGCCCTCGCATTGGTCACCTCGGCCTGACGCCTCTGACGCTATTTTCAAAGTCACCAAATCATTGTCAAAATGGACTACCCAATCAAGAAAATCCTGAGGCCCAAGGCCCATATAAACCCTAATTCATACCAAGGTACGTGCATTATATATATGAGACCCATACACCCACATATACTAACTTTAGCATCGGAGTCTCTTTTACAGGTACCACCCCCACTTCAGAACAACCGACGTACCTAGCGAATGAGGCTCACCGATCTTGCCCAGCAGATCGTCCCTCACGACCGATCTCCGGTAAGAATAATAAGAATATTTTTTTTAAAGCTATTATACATATATTTTTTTGGAAAGGAAAATACTTATATGATGCCATGATATGATGACCAAAGAATGTACAAAAAGGGTATAAATTTCTCTATTTTTTATTTTTTATTATCAGTTTGCTTGTTTTAAAATTCCAGTCCACTCTTATTAGAACAAATAATGAAAACAAATGCTGAAAACAAATGCACACACACATGCTCAATCAATGTACACCCACGAACGATCATGTTTGAATCCTTAGTATGTGGTCCCTGTCAAGAAAAGTGCATTGTATAGGACAGTTCTAATCTCACTAGTCTTAAGGCCCCCAAGGTGCCCCCATTATAGGGACCCAGTATCTCTGTCGCCGTCACCTGACAAACTCTAAGGTCTGTCACAGTATTTTGGGCTAGAGTAACCACTTATCACCTTGAGTGTGATTTCCGACAAGGCTCGCAGGCTCTAAGGCCAAACTTGGGCCGGTCGTACGTCAACTACTCCCTATGTTTAATACCCTCATGCACCCGGGTGTAGGAGGAACTGTTGTGTGCAAAGGATTGTGTACAATTTTATTCAACCAGATACATAATTTAAACCAACAAACAAATGTTACAGCCAAACAAATAAAACAAACAAAGTAAAGGGAAAAAAATATTTAAATTATTATTTTTTATAATGCTAATTTCATCATTTCTATGGGCCTAACCTTCTTAAAACTTCTCCAGTGGAGTCACCATCTGTCGCAACCCAAAAATTTTCGATCTCGCGACCTATGGTTTAGATATCCTTTTGAAAATCTCATTAATTAAGGAATGGACGGACACCAGACTAATCCTTAATTAATGGTTTTGAAAACAGGTTCATGGAGTCTCCACCAATGTTTTACTTAAAACATTGAGAAAAAAAAAAGGTTTTTAAAGATCCAATACTGGCCTTGATAACCAAAATTGGGTTCGGGGGTCGATTACGTGTAGGGTAGGTATTAAGCACCCCTACAACGCCCTTAATCGGTACCCTTATGATGAAATTAGCATAGTAAGAATTAATAATTTAAATATTTGATCCCCTTTATGAATTACTATTTACATGCTTAAAATTTAAATTGCACAATTAACCCTAAAATGTCTACATGATTGCTTTTGTCATAACAATGTCTATTAGAGATGGAAAATAAAAGATAGGGAAGAAGATAAAGATAAGAAATAAAAGATAGAGAAGAAGATTGATTGAAATACCTCGTAACAAGCTTTGTTAGATCTTCACATATGAAAAATCAAGGTGCTTTGTGGAAACCTTTCGTACTACAATTGCCTCACCGAATCTCAAGAAAGAAATACAATAGGAGAGAGAGAAATAAGGAATTTTCATGCTCAAAGGAGTCTTATTCGAAATTTCCCTCGCTCCCTCGAGAATTGTGCCCGAGTCTTCTATTTATAGGCATCAGAAGGGGGCTAGAACGGCCCGTTACGGACTAGTCCGTTATGGCTAAAATAAGAATCTGGAACGGCCCGTTCCAAAAGTGGAACGGCCCGTTCTGGGTTCGAATTTTACTTACAACAAGCTATCCCGGAACAGCCCGTTCCAAACTAGGGTTTTAGGCCCATTTGATGATTTGGAACAGCTTGTTCTAGTTTTAGAACGGCCCGTTCTAGGCAAGTCTGTTATGGGTAAAATAAGAATCTGGAACGGCCCGTTCCTAAAGCGGAATGACCCGTTCTGGGTTCAAATCTTGCTTATAACAACCTTTTTTGGAATGGGTCGTTCCGTTTTGGGAACAGCCTGTTCCAGTCTTGGGAACGAACGGTTCCGATCTTGGAATAGCTTGTTCTGGGCTACTAAAACCAGCTTATTTAGGCTTTAGGTCTTCTGATGCCATGTCCTATTCTTTCCATGCTTCGGGAGCTCCTTTCCTTGATAATAGACGTCTTGTTTTTGTGAGCCCGGGCGAAATTGGGTGTCTACAACTGCCCCTCTTTACTTGTCCTTTGGAATAGCTATGTGTTGCTTTTCCAAAGACAAGTAAAGACGTAGACATTTCGTCCGGGTCTTCTCTTCGTCTCTTTGTGTTGGTGCTTCTACGTTGCTTTTCTTAGATAGGTGTATTTGCTCGTATCCTCGCCCTTTAAAGCAGTTGAGTGTTGGTTGTGTACTCTATTGAGTTTAGGGTTTAGGGTTTAATTTAATAAAATTTTTTACAATTACTTTTACATTACTTTTGTGAGTTATAAATTGAAAATAAGAAAAATAAAAAATATTTTCTCAAAATATATATACCGTAAATAAGTCTAAAGGTATAAAAGGTTTGAAGATAGATTAAATTTTTTTAATCAATCATATATATTATATATTAATTGTGATTGATTATATTCTACTAGAACTTTTAGGAACTATTTTTTAAAAGAGAATATTTTAATTTTTATTTTTATTTTTATTATCTAATTTACTTTATTAATTTTTAAAATAAACTATCAGTTAATAAAAATTAATTTTATGTTGTAATATAAATTATTATAAATTTAAAATATAATTTTATATATTTTAAAATATTTATTTATATAAATCTTAAATATAATATATACTAAATATAATATTTATTTATATATAATTTATTATAAACTTTAATTATATATAATAATCATTTATCATGTGAAATACACATATTAAAAGATTAATTATATTTTATGAACCAAGTACTACCGTTCTTCTAATATTAATTATGAAATCAACAATAATTAAAGAGTAATAAATGCTCCTTTAAATAATTGAAAAATAACTGGTCCTTTGAAAATAGCTGTCTTAAGTGTACTACTTAATATACTTGTTAAAAATTAAATGGTTTCTTGTTTTCATATTTCACTAATCTTCTAATGAAATGTTTTCTTTAAATACGAAAGACATTATCATTTCTAAAACTGATTTTAATGACGGCCCTTCTTGATTTTTTTTTTCTTAAATAATACTAGTACTGCTATAATTTTTTTATTTTAATCATAATTCAACAGATTAGAAACATTGTCAAAATAATAATAATTAAAAAATAATAATGCGCCTAATCAGTTGCTATGTAATAGACAATACATAAACATGACAACTCATGATTTATTAAGTCCAAAATTTAGACAAAACTTAATACCTTACCGTTAATTAAGCTACACAGAAATTGTTTATATATAAAAATAGTTGTGAATGTAAATAAAAGAAATTTTGATTATGGTTATTATTATAAATTTTGATTATGTGGTTATTACTAAAAAGAAATTTAAAATTTAAATAAAAATAATATTAAAAGTATTTAAGAAATTACATTAAAAATTTTCTGTTTAATCTTATTAAAATTTTGTCAAACAATTAAAAATCATTTATATACAACTCTTGAAAAGTTTAATTAAAATATTTTTCTATGTATAAAATTTGAGCAGTTGCCATTTGGCTGGGTTTTCCATTCTCTCTCTCTCATCTCTCTATTTCTTTCTTTCTCTCTCTTTTCACTCACAACCCACCTTGGATTGTCTTTCTGCGACCAACACACGAACACAGACACTTGTGTTCTTAAGGCTTTGTTCATCACCCAACAACACTTCTGTTTCTCCGATTTTGCCTCCAAAACTCATTGCTTCAAATCTTCAATCACTCACTCCCCACTTTCAGATCGGTGTCTCTCTCCAACACAAAATAAGGTTACTCTCTCTCTCTATTTTCTGACGCAATTTTATTCCTTACAGCACACTCTTTTCTGCCCATGACGGTTTT